TCTAAGAATTTACAACATTTAAAATTTCGAATATCATAATTTTATTAAAAAGATTATTTTTCAAAATAATGAGGTCGCTTGCGCATAAAATTTATCGTGCTTAAAATTCATGTTAATAAGCATAAATAATTATTTCATTTTATTTAAAAAAAAAAAACGGATTATTTTTCAAGATAATGAAGTCACTTACCTAAAATATTTGAGAGGGAGCTTCCGATAAAAATTAGGCTAGAGAGAGGAGCTCACTGTGTTTGTAAAAGGGAGAGCGAGAAAGAAGTCGTTAGGCGACGTCTCACTTATTGTCCTATTTAATTTCTTTTAAACACCTCCACCTCATGTATGAGGTGTCGCGTTAAAAGTCCGCTTTTATCATATGAAAACCACGTCCACTAAAGGACGTGGCAAGGCAGCAAGCAAAAGCTTAAACCAGGTAAAAGCTTTTGAAAGTAGTGATGGTCCCTAAGGACCATCATGCTCATACGAACCATCACTTATTTAAAAGTTTGTTTTCTTCTTTTTTTTCTTTTATGAAATTTTAGGATTATTACATTCTTCCCCCCTTAAAGAAATTTAATCATCTAAATTTGTGTACCTGATTACTGAAAAAGATAGGAATATTTTTCTCTAATATCGTCTTCTCGTTCCCAAGTCGACTTCTCTCTTGAATGGTACTGCCATAATATACGGACCAAAGGAATCCCTTGTTGCGCAACACTTGTACCCTTCTATCCAGTATCAAGATTGGCTGCTCAATGAAGGATAGGTCCTTTCTGATCGGTAGAGGTTCATATTTCAAGATATGGGATGGGTCGGGCAGGTATTTCATAGTGATGATACATGGAAGACATTATGGACGTTTACCAATTTGGGCGGTAAGGCAAGTCTATAAGCGACACCTCCAATTCTTTCTAGGATTTCAAATGGTCCGATGTAACGTGGGCTCAGCTTTTCTTTCTTGTCGAATCTGATAATGCCTTTTATTGGTGAGATTTTTAGGAAAACTCGATCACCTTCCGTAAATTCAAGATCTCTCTTTCGGTTATCGGTATAACTCTTTTGTCGACTCTGAGTTGTCCTGAGCCTTTCTCGAATTAATGTTCTCTTATCTATGGTTACCTGGACAATTTTTTGCCCTAAAAGCTTTCTTTCACCAACCTCGTCCCAACAAATGGGTGACCTGTATTTCCTTCTATATAAGGCTTCATATGGTGCCATCTGAATACTGGCTTGGAAGCTATTATTATAAGCAAACTCAATCAGGGGTAAATGGTCATCCCAGTTTCCTGTAAAGTCAATGACATACGCCCTTAGCATATCTTCTAAGGTTTAGATGGTCATCTCTGATTGTCCATCAATTTGGGGGTGAAAGATAGTGCTAAAGGTAAGTCCATCAATTCGTCCCCATGGTTGACTGTAGCCTAGTCCAAAATTTAGAAGTAAACCGAATATCCCTGTCCGATACAATACTGACTGGAACTCCATGCAATCGCACTATTTCTTTAATGTACAACTAGGCCAGTCGATCCAAAGTGTGCGTCGTGCGAATCGGTAGAAAGTGGGCAGCTTTGGTCAGGCGGTCTACAATGACCCAAATGCTATCATGTCATGAATTTGTTCTAGGCAAGTCAGAGACAAAATCCATAGAGATGTACTCCCACTTCCACTCTGGCACGGGCAAAGGCTGCAACAACCCGGCGGGCCTTTGATGCTCAGCTTTTACTTGCTGGCATGTTAGACACTTTGACACAAATAGTGCTACCTCTTTTTTCATATTATTCCACCAAAAGGTTTTCTTCAGGTCCTAATACATTTTAGTACTTCCGGGATGTATCGTATAACGAGAGTGATGTGCTTCTTTCAAGATAGCTTTCTTCACACTCTTATCATTCGGGACACAAACCCGACCTTTGAATCTTAGCAAATCCTTATTACATATAGAGAATTCTTCTCTCTTTCCCAGCTTTACCTCTTCTACAATTGTTACAAGCTGAGGGTCTTTCTTTTGTGCAAATCGAATCTGTTGGATTAATTGGGGTTCTGCCTTAATGTTGGCAATCACACTTACCACACCATTAATGGACGGAGCCGAATGCCAATCCACTATTTACTCTAACAATATCATTTCTTGGATCATTAGATGAGCTAAGACTCCCGTAGATTTTCTACTTAGAACGTCGGCCACAACGTTAGCTTTTTCTGAATGATAATGGATTGTACAATCATAATCTTTTAAGAAATCCATTCATCTTATTTGCTGCATATTAAATCCTTCTGAGAGAATAGGTATTTCAAGCTCTTATGATCTGTGTATATTTCGAATTGCTCACCATATAAATAATGCATCTACATTTTCAAAGCGAATACTATTGCAACCAGTTCCAAGTCATGAATTGGATATTTTTTCTCATATTATTTTAACTGTCTGGATGCATATGCCACTACTTTCCTATATTGCATTAATACACAGCCCAAGTCTTTATGTGAACCATCACTATAAAT